GCTGACCCGAGGTCACAATCCTTAGACTTCCAGGGACCAAGCAAAGTACAGCGTAGACTGTAGACAGGGATTTCCAAGGACAAAAGGGAAGCAGAGGGCAGCCTGTAGACAGGGATTTCCAAGGACAAAAGGGAAGCAGAGGGCAGCCTGTAGACAGGGATTTTCAAGGACAAAAGGGAAGCACAGGGCAGCCAGTAGACAGGGATTTCCAAGGACAAGCCAAAGGTTCGATACACAGGAAAACTTCCAGGAATTCAGGGTAAATCACAAATTGGGGACTCAGCAACTAGTTTAGGAAAGCGTTGCTTGGGCAGCATGCCATTCGCTGCCCTGGGTTTAAATAGAGACAGGGAGAGGGAGGATCCACAGGATTGGCCATAAGCGGACTGCACTGATTGGCCGAGAAGCTGCATAAGAAACAGCAGGAGAGGTCGGCCGACCGTCGCCTAAAGCTTGCAGACCGGTGCAAGTGTGAGGCAGGTTTAGAGCACATGCCTGGAGGACTACAACCCCCAGCACAGCCCTGCATGCCTGCAGAACCAGGGGTACGAGATATGTATATACTTGAACTACAAGTAACAGCTCAGCTGCAAGTCTGCAGCTGAACTGTGACATTTAAATTAGAACAGTTACATTATACCAACCAAAATGCTGCAAGTATTAGGTTGGGCACAGAAGGGTGATTTTTTCTAAAGCAACCAGTGCCCATGATTACCCTGTAATTAATTGCTAGCCATCACTACATATAGGGAAAAGTGAAGTTTAGCATATAATACCGATTAAACAAAACAGAGGATGTAGGGGTCCCAAGACAGAATGTCATCTCACCCCGATATAGTCTATTGCAAGTAGAGATATTAATGGGGCTTTCTGAGATGGTAAAATACCACAATCAAAACATCCATAATTATAAATAAGTGTATTTTTATTAAATGAATATTATACAATCTTTAGTCCTACCATGAAATCAATCACCTTGTTGAAAATCTTACACAAGAGAAGCAACTAACCATTGTATCCCTATGGGTGACAAATCTATATTTATGTGAAATGTAATGAAGTCTAGCAAATTAATGTTCGGTTATGATTGTCCAACAAACATTATGTAATTTGGTTTTCGATTGATTTTATGGTAGGACTAAAGATTTTATAATATTAATTTAATAAAAATAAACTTTTTTATGATTATGGATGTTTTGATTGTGGTATTTTGCCATCTCAGAAAGCCCCATTAATATCTCTATTTGCAATGTAATAACGATTAATTGATAATGATATCACAATGCCCCAAATTTTTGTGATTGATCACTGCTACATGCAATTGCCTATGTATCAATAGCTACCGGCTAACCATAGGTATTTTTGTAGCATTAACATGCTACGAAGAATCGCATGTGTGCCTCCAGCTTTAAATAGGTGGTTTATATTTATAAATGTATCTTTTCAACACTGAAACAGAATGTGATGTGATTATTAAATGAAATTAACATTTTTCTGTATTCTCTGTGCCAGTATAGTGCCAGAATAATCATGATTAAACTCAATAGCCAATAAGGCCAATAAGCATATTAAGTTGTAGAATACTACCATATTCAGGGTCCCAGAATAAACTTGTTCTGAGTAAAGACAAAATATATTGTTTTATGGAATGAGAGAGTATCTAAACCCAAAAATGTAATTTATTACAGCTTACCAATCCCTAAAGCAGAAGTAAAGTAAAACAAAGAAATAATTGCTAGGAGGAAGGGATTTTTGGCAGAAGAGACAGGCAAAGTTTTTAATGCCAAAAACAACTTCCTCTTTCACCTAGAAATTCTTTATTTTCTGTGTACACTGTAGTGTGCATATGTCATGCAGTGTACACACTCTCTAACCATATGCAAGAGTTACATCATCAGTGGCCACCCAATGGCTGAAGAGGATGCCTGGGAACTCAAAAGTGGCTGCGGTAGAGATGATGGCAGGGGACCGAGAATTCATTGCACAGAGCTGGAGATGGGCACACTTGTAAGGTATGTTTGCCAGTATGTGCAAGTATGCTGTGCAGCTATTACATTTAAAGGAGAATTATGAAGTGAGTGATTTTCTCTCATTGCCTGCTATCAATCAGCCATCTGGGTGGATCTCGACAGTATTGTCGGGATCTGTCCTGGCTGCGGTGCTCTCAGTATATAGTGAGCTGTAGTTTGCTATATACTGAGCTTTGGGTCACTGGAGGAGGTTAGTATATATCCTCCATGACCCTTAAGAGAACTATAAGATAAAAAGGTTACCCCCATAGTTCTCTTTTTAGGATTGATAAGCTGCAATCACTGGCGGAACTACCAGGGTCGCAGCGGTCGCAATTGCGACCGGGCCCTGGCGTTCTGCCTGTTGCGGGAGCCCAGAGAGAAAGCAGAGGGCACGAAGCTTCCTCAGCTGTCCCCCCTTCCAGTTAGTGCCGCTCCTTCCCCCGCCGCAGGGGGAGGGAGCTAAAAAGCTGTTATTTACATTACAATGTATTGCTGGGACTTGTAGTCCTACATGGTTGGTGCTATTCTGCATTGCTGTATAATGATTATACAGCAATGCAGAATAGCACCAGCTCTGTAGGACTACAAGTCCCAGCAACACATTATATTATTAAGTAGGGATGCACCTGTGCCAATACTGGGCATTTTCACCAGTACTCGTGAAAATGCACCGATACTATGTGTAGGTGAAATTACCAGGGTGGCAGCTGTCACATTTGCGACCGGGCCCTGGTGTTTGGCCAGTTGGGGGGAGCCCAGAGAGAAAAAATGGGGGGGGGGGGGGGGGGTGGCCAGTCAGGGAACTCTATTTGCATGCACTATTCTTTCTGAGCGCACCGGAACTGCAGGCATTGATTTGCCATGTGTTCTGGTGCAGGCGATCGCACTGCGGTCGGGGGGCGTGCCTGCGGTGCCATTGACTTTAATGCACCGCCACACCCCCTCCCACCCCAGAACGCAGTGAGCCAGCCGGGATGCGATCAAGTGTGTTTCAGCACCAAATCGGGCCAGAACACACTGGAGCTGGTGTGAACTAGCCCTGAAAGTTATAAAATACCGTATTTTTCGCTCCATAAGAGGCACCCAAAAGTCGGGGGAAATGTGTGTGCGTCTTATGGAGCGAATCCTTATCGCCCGACGCCCGGGACATACAGTTTCGGGTGCTGGGCGAGTCGTTTTCTGTACATTTAGCCCTGCTCCGGACAAGCAGAGCTAAATGTACAGTGGGAGCTGCTGCTCGTTTAATACAAGTGATCTAATCAGATCACTTGCACCAAATCGAGTGGCGGCGATCGTGTCCGGGGCCCCCCCGACATGGTTTTTGGGGTCCCCTGCTCCTCTGGGGGACCCGTGACCATGGCATAGGAGCTCACCATAGAGCCCCGGCTGCTAAAGCAGAGCTAAATGTACAGTAGGAGCCACTGCTCGTTTAATACAAGTGATCTGATTATATCACTTGTATTAAAACCGAGCAGCGGAGACGGCTGCTCTGTGTGATCACTGAGACCATGGCACTGTTATCACAATGCCACCTGTCTCAGCTGTCACTAACTACATAACCATACCCTCCCTGCGTCCTATGGTCAGGTGCGCCTTATAGAGCGCAAAATACGGCACATACTGTTTATTTAATAGAAGAAAAAAAAGGTATCAAAATCATGTTTTTGGGGGGAGGGGGCCTTAATGGTTTCTTGCATCGGGGCCCTGAGGTTTCTAGTTACGCCTCTGGCTGCAATTATTACATTTTTGCTTCTGGGTACACTTTAAACATTTGCAGACTGTACCTAAGAAGTTAAGGCATGGCTGGTACTCGTTAATAATCTAGTAAGCTGCACTTATTATCAGATGGATATGCAGACATCTCCAAAACTAAAATGATTGTTCCTTGGTTGTACATTTTACGTTTATTCATAGGCTGTGCTAATCCTAAATATCCACTAGATGGCGCTGACTGCATAGAAGAAAACCGAGCACTCCCCATATATGTGACATAACAGCTGCAGGGGTGGAGAAGAGAAACAGCAACAAGGAAGAGGGTTCAATAACAGAACTAGTCCGGGCAAAGCTGTGCTTCACTCCATACGATCATGGGCAGAAAGAGAAAGCTGACAGACTGCCTGCCAGTAGTAAAGCTTGCTGGGCAGAGAGCCACCCTGGTAAAGGGGGAAGATGACCAGCAACAGCCTGGGGATGGCAAGACCAAGAGGAAGGCTTTGCAGAATGAAAAGCAGGCTATAGGGGGTAAGTATTAATTCCTGAGGATACAGAATGGGTCTGGTGCTAGACTTAAATGTCTTGAGCTCTTACTCATATTTTTCATCTTTTATTCTCTCTCCTATTTGCTGTATTTAGTGAGTACTGATCTCTGCTTGTCAACAGAGTATGCTCTGTAGTGCCTACTGTAGGGGAAGTAACACATTATAGCTATTAACTGCTCCTCTTACAGAACCATAGCTACCAACTGCCCCTCTTATAGAACCATAGCTACCAACTGTCCCCGTTATAGAACCATAGCTACCAACTGCCCCTCTTATAGAACTATAGCTACCAACTGTCCCTCTTATAGAATCATAGCTACCAACCGTTCCATCTAAAGAACTATATACCTATAGAACTATAGCTACCAACTGTCCCTTTTATAGAACTATACCTACCAACTGTCCCTCTTATAGAACTATAGCTACCAACTGTCCCTTTTATAGAACTATACCTACCAACTGTCCCTCTTATAGAACTATAGCTACCAACTGTCCCTGTTATAGACCTATAGCTACCAACTGTCCCTGTTATAGAACTATAGCTACCATTCATACCATACCATTCAGCTAGCATTCATAGGTATCCTACCCCAGTCTATTAGGACAAATAGCTGAGGCTTGCCGGTGAAAGCAAGTCAATCTAGTCTTGTTAAATGTGCACTGATTAGGCAGTTTTTATACTGTATATGTAGACATATGTTGGTGATTTATATTCCATTTTTTTTTTGTTCAGTAGATGCTTCATCCTCTAAATTATTCACACTGCAGAAGCTTGTCCATTTTGACCTAGATTGGCAGTTTGGACCTTGTACAGGTGAGTTACCAGGTTATTTCATAACAGTAACTGGGCCTCACTGGTCTTTTTTCTTGTATATATGCGTGCTATTATGGATTTGAGCACATGCTTTTTTATTGCATAGTGCAAATCATTGATCAGACCTGATTGTGTTGCTCTCCTCCATGTCTCTTGTGCAATAAAACCTTCTTATCTTCCTGCTTGAAAGTTTCTATGTACACTAAGCTGTGCATGATCAGTACATTCTTGGCATGCCTGGTGCTATAATTGATTAAATCCAATGCACATGTGGAAAGTACTGTATGTCATCCCGGCCTGGCCAATTAAAGCCCATCTCCAGGTAGGAATACAAAGTCTCTTTGCAGTGGGGCTATCCACTATCAGGGTTAACTGATCACTAATACTGATCTGTGTAAAGAACATTTACTTACCTGATCTCCGCTTCCATTGACTCCAAGACCAGCTGCGGCAGCCTCTTCCCCCATTTGCACCAGCAGTCAGAGGCCAGCTGACATCATTATGTCTAATGCAGGGCCCATAGCGCTACATTATACATGGGGGTGTTGAGGGACAGTTCATAAGCCAGATCATAGGGGAGAAAGGTGAAACCAGGGGAGCCGGGATCAGGTAAGGAAAACTGCTTTACCCGATACCCTAGACATTAACGAGCAGTTAGCCCCCACTGCAAGGGGAGTTTTTTTTTATATCTGTAGACAGGTTTAAGATGTCAAACCTGGAGGAAGAGCTGGAGAAGATGTTGGTGTGAGTGAGGGGACTTGCAAACTTATCACCTCTGGAATATTAGGTGTTAGCATGAGGTCACCCCCCCCCCACTCGGCATTGTGTTTCTGAAGTCTGGGCTGACACGAGAATGGAGCATGATCAGCATTTTACATAGAAACACACATTTTCTGGTTCAAAAGACCTCAGAAACATGGCCCAGAATCTCATGAAAGAAGAGCTCCTTCAACAGTTGGTATTTGGAATAATAGGAAAAAACTTAAAGGTTAGGCAGATAATTCCCCCACAATCTCTTCGTAGACTATTCCTGGCCATCCACTTCTAGTACATTGGCATTCTGTTTAAAACCTTTATAAACTCTAGGATCTGAAGATCATTGTTCAATGAGTGAGAAAAGTTATCAGGGTTCTGTATGCACACTAGATATAAAGATAATAATTTTAGATAATAATTTTTGTAGTAAAGTATGTCCTGACTCATCTAAATTGTTTAATCAACCACAGGTATCACACGGATGGAGCGATGGCAGAGAGCACAGGCTCTGGGGCTAATGCCACCACAAGACATCAAACAGATCCTCCTGGCGCACAGTGCAGATCCTCTGTACCAGCACAAGTAAGTCTTTGCCAGAAGAACATGGGTTGATGATATTCCATATATGTCCAATATGTTGAAGATATTTACTGGGTTCCTGAGGGAGAACATAGTGTGGAAAACCAAGGTATGAGTGTAGGTACATACAGTACCAGCAATATCAATGCTGAGTACACAGATATTACAGGTATTTATATAGTGCTGACAATTTACGCAGAACTTTACATATTGCACATTCACATCAGTCCCTGCCCTCAATGAGCATATAATCTAAGGTCCCTATCTCACATGCATACATATGAGGACCAATTTAGACAGGAGCCAATTAACCTACCAGCATGTCTTTGGAGTGTGGGAGGAATCTGGAGTACCCAGAAGAAACCCATGCAAGCACAGGGAGGACATGCAAACTCCTTGCAGATAGTGATCTGGCCAGGATTCGAACCAGGGACCCCCAGTGCTGTAAGGTAGAAGTGCTAACTACTACATCACTGTGCTGCCCTAGATCTAGCCTGTCACTTTGTACAGGATATCTGTTTGTGTCCAACACTGGCTCTCATAAATAAAGGTTGGTTATTCCCAATACACTACATGGATAACAAGTGACCTCTTATTATATGTTTCAGCCTTTGGAATTCGTATGCCATCTAAGGAGAGCAGAGTGGAGGTGATAGCCAAGACTGGATGAATGCCAGAGATGGACAAGATGGCTCAGAGATTGGGCTTTACGGGATACCAATTCCTTGTTTAGTATTGTTCTCAGTTTAAGAAGATGAAAGTTAAGTCCACATATAGTGGCATTATCTGAAATATTTTGTTGGTTCCTTGACGGAAAGCTGTTGAATATCTTACAGGCTTATTCAGTAAGTCAAAGAGCAATATGTTAAGTGCAAAAGCACATAGCAGCCAATAAGAATAATACAGTGTACCTGTATATGGATCTTCCAGTAATGTTAGTTCGAAGAGTGAAGTTCTAAAGCCTGTTTAATTCCTCTTTAAAGTGGCTTTGCTGCTAGTCTTCAAATATTAAGCAACAAGTACCCTGTAAAAGAAGAAAATTAATCCTTGAAGTGACATTAAACCCTCAGATTTGTTAACATAAACCAATACTGTAATGTGTGCCTTACTGTAATCCATGGTAGTTTCCCTTCTCTTTGCTGCTCTTCCTTTTAAATCCTCATGTCTTCTCATGCTTGGGGAGAACTTCCCTTTTCAGCTCAGGGCCTCTTTCTGTAGTGCTGGCTCAGGTTACAAGCCTAAACAAATCTATACACAGACACCGTGTATCCATTCCTGAGACAAGGCAGTCTGCTGCAAAACAGAAGTTCTGCAGAGCATGAGAACAGATACAGATTTAAAAGGAAGAGCAGCAAAGAGAAGGGAAACAACCATGGATTACAGTGAGGCACACATTACAGTATTGTTTTATGTTAAAAAATCTGAGGGTTTAATGTCACTTTAACTGTCCAGCAGGTGGCGACTGCAACCTACACTTTGTTGAAGAGCTACAGCGCCACCGGTATCGGACACATCTAGGAGTGGCAGATTTCTGGTCCCATGCTACACCTTGTGGTTCCTTCTGCCAGCCATTTTGTCACTACTGTGTCTTGTAGTGGTGGAGTCACTGGTGGGAGGAAGTGTCAGATGCTTTAGCTATTGAACAGAGCAAAGATTGTATTCGCAGCTCACTGGACATGTAACTATAACTAATATTTTTTACATAATGCTTATGGTGTAAAGCGGAGCTCCAGGCACAGACATCCTCATAATCTCTTAAGGGAAGTAAAAAAGTTTCCTTTTGTCAGATGTGTTAAATGTGCAGATTAGTCCTGTTTACTGTACAATTCATTCCTTCGTATATATTCCAAATACTACAGCCAGCACTGTTCTGCTTCAGCCATGAGACATGCGGCTCTCATACAGGTGAAGTGATAGTGTCTTTTATTTGCCCCTCCTTTCCCTTCTCCTTGGGCATTCATAGAACATCTTGTATTCTATGAACCATTTACAGAATACTTGGCCAAGAGGAGAGGTGGGGTGGATAAAGGACATTATAGGACACTATCACTTCCTTGTATGAGAGCCGCAGCTGGCTGTAGTATCCAATAAATACAAATGAATGAATTGTACAGTTAACAGGACCGATCTGCACATGTGTCACACCTGACCAGAAGAAATGTATTTTTCTCTTAAGAATTGATATTAATGTATGTGCCTGGAGGTCCAAATTAGTTTATGAACAGGGTCTATAGAACTGTATCCCATCATGTTTGTATGATGTCATGGGGTTAGGCTGAGGGAGAATTATTTGTGGCATGCACTGGTGTTCTGGGGAGAAAGCGGGAGATGGAAATGATGTACAATGTGACATGAGATCTGTCAACTGCCTTTATTTGTTTCTCTCTCCATTTTTTTTTATATGTCCTCCCTTCAGAAGATTAGTCTTTGTATCAAAGGCATAAACCTTAAAAAGACTGATACTAACCTTTGCCTTGCTCCCCCGCCACGCCGTTCTTCCGTCAGAGCGGGGAGACCTAGCCCCGAGTAGACTCTACGTAGAATGGTGTTGAAATTTACATGGGATTCATGACGTCTTCTCCCAATTCACGTGACAGTGTCCAGACACAGTGAATGGCTGCTCAAGCCAGAGCACTAAATGCTGGGAAGAGGTCACTTGCTTCCTCATACCCAGAAGTAGCGGGTATTTCCCAATGGCTCTGGCAGAAGAATGGAGCTATGGGGAAGCACAGCGAAGATGAGTATCGGGAAGGGTGGGGGATTGAGGTGGCATGTCTTTTCTAGTCAATTGAGTCCACAGAGTCAAATGAGCAAAATCCCAGTCTCTTTACAGTACTGGAGGATGACCATCACACTTTATTATTATTATACAGGATTTATATAGCGCCAACAGTTTGCGCAGCGCTTTACAATATAGGGCAGACATTACAATCACAATACAATTCAAGACAAGATGGTAAGGAGGGCCCTGCCCGTGAGGGCCTACAATCTAAAAGGGAGGGGGAAGTGATACATGAGGAGGAACTTCCAACAAGAGCATCGCCATCTCTGTTACTCTTATCATCAGCAGCAAATTCTCTTCTACAAAAAGATAGATGTCCTCAAATTATTTTATATGATATGTTATTTACGTTCACGGCAGAAAGAAAACATACCCGTTTGCTTTATTTTTGCACATATGCATATAACGGTGTTGTGTTATGAAAAATAATCTTAAAATAAATATTTTTGGTCTTTGTTTTAAATAAATGTGTATATTTTGCTTTATTTGTGTGAGGTTGAATTTTTGTTAATTTAGTGCTTGAGAGAAACCTTTCACGATACAAAAATATACAAACCACCATTGACAACCTGTTTTAAAAGTCATACAAATCTTTAGTTGCCACAGGTAGTGCCTTAAAGTGACAGAAGCGAGCTTGGAGTGGTGGCTATACAGGGGCAGTGTCACACCGTCAAGAGTGCGTCCCACTCTTGATGCATGCAGCATTTTTTGCAGATCGCGCTGGACCGGAATACAGGCACTAATATGCCATGCGTTTGGGTGGTGTGGCTGGGGTGCCATTGAGTTCAATGCAACGCCACGCCCCCTCCTCGCCCCCAAAACAAAGTGAGCCGGCCGGGTTGCGTTCCAGGGGCCGAACGCACTGGAACACACTCTCAACGGTGTGACGGCCCTTACAACACACACAGGGACCATGGGGAACAAAAGTATCCACCCTCCAGAAGGAAGGACATGAATTCAGAGATTATTTGAGGCTCTATAGCCGAGTGATACACAAATAAGATACATTTTTGTTAATAGTTGGGGTGCTTGAATCCATTTTTAAGATTTAACTCCTGAGTTTAGTGTCACTTTAATAGATCTTCATTTATAGATCTTCTTCCAGTCTTCCTTTTCTGTCTATGAAAAGTAGAATAGAGGTAGTACTGTGTCTCATAATATATGTAGATGAAGTGTCCTAAGTCACAAATTGGATCAGTCTTAGAAAAGACTGCACTCAAAACCATAGGAGCCCATGGTACACCTTGGGGACAGTCATGAACAGAGCAAAAACTTGGAGCACCAAGAAAAGACAGTGATCCAATCTGGTATATCAGATGTGTGTTTTGTTTAACATGAAAAAGTGCCAGCACATTTGAGGGGATTTACACTCCCTTCATCGGGGCTGTAAATGGACAGTTGTATATTTGTGACTTTCTGTGTATCGTGTGTGATTTATTCACACAGCCTACAAGCTTACAAATGATCGATACAATGTCCGCTGGCTGGTGCCCGCTGTAGATTTTTCTGTTCAATCCTTCTCCATTCCTCATTTTGGAGGAAATATATCCTTAGATCTGTATCAGATATAGTCCATTGTTTGATACTCACAGAGTTTCTCTGCACTGAACTTTTAGTTTTACTCTCTGCCCGGTACACATTATTTTTACATGCAGATCTACATATTTTATCTACAATATCATGTGAAGTACCTCCATTAGATCCCATATAAAAATATTAAATGAACAAATAATCTATGGCAGGATGCACAGGAAATAAAAATATGTTACACTTAAAAACATCCCTGTTGCTAACCTTGTTGCTGTTGCTTACCCAGTGCAGCAGTTGGTGAGGTGGAGTCGTACATGGGTAAGCGGAGTCTCTAATGAATGGGGTCTAAGTGCCGAATTGTAAATCAGAAGTGATGTCAAGGATCCTAAGTTAAGGCCATGTACAGGTAAGCAGAGTCTCAAAGTACTCCAGAACTTCAGTGCATGTATGTCTAGGCACCAATGCACATCTGCCCAAAGCCTTCAGCACAGGGTTACACACATGTGCAACCACATCTTTAAGCCTGGTAAGTCTCTTACAGTTAAGTGCACTTTTACCCTGAACCCCTGACCTAAACAATCCCACCCTCCATCTTTACAGACCAGTACTTACTAAGATCCATTGGCCAAGGTTCCTCAATTTCATTCCGGAGCTGCAATGATCCCTCTGCTGGCCACACCTGCACATTACAGCCTCATTGAAGTCTTCCAACAAAGAGACGGACGCGGCCAGGAGATGGAGACATGCAGTACTGGATGTCAACAAAAAGCAGAGCAGTGGCCCTTGGATGTTTGTAAATATAGATCTATGAAAGGCAAGGGTGGGATCATTTAAAATTAAGGGAGGGGGGCAAAAGTTCACTTTGTTTAAAAATGCACTTATTCTTTGAAATAGATGTAAACCTTAACTTGATGACATATCGTTTGCAAAAGCATTTTATTTGTCAGGGTGGGATGAGCTTCAGGTTTGGGTTGATCACAAGCTTGACTCCAAACCAAGTTGTTCACAGTTCGCCAAACAATTTAGCCAGTTCACCTGCCGAATCCCTACCTGTGTCCTAGCAATCAATGCCTGACAGGTGTCTGAGCTACACAGCGTCATTGGTTGCTAAGACCAACAGTGTTATTGGTTATTATGTTCTGCCTGCCTGCATCCTAGCAGCTAATAACACTGTGCGGCCCAGCTGCTAGTATCCTAGCAACCAATGACGCGGGTCACACAGTGTGTGTAGTTGCTAGGACACAGTCAGCCCTGGGTTTGTTTCGCTTGGACGTTCACTGAACCCAGATTTCTCGCTGGGTTTGCTCATCACTAGTAACAACGGCATAACAAGCATGTGCAATGAGCATTAGTAAAGTCCCTTTTGGTCTCCATTGGGAGAATGTGTGATACAGTGACAAACACAGAAGAGACGGACAGGGTGTTGTCACCCAGGAAGTGCCTGAACAAGGACATTTAATGGAAGGATAACC